AACTGTAGGTAGTCTATGATATCCAAAAAACTGATATATTATCGGGAAAACTGAATAATATGAATATTTTCATAGTAAGCAAAACAGAATAAAAAGAAGTCAGAGCTAAATTGGATGGATGATTGACAGTCTCTCCTTAAAGAATCAAAACAGGATTTGGTGGAATAGATTTCATTGTACACTCAAATGAAAAAAGAAAAAAGTATTTTATGGGGCATTTGGTCATCTCTTCTTGAAACGTTCATGATAAGCATCAGCAAAAAAGGCCACCATGAAGATAATTGTAAATTATTCAGCCATACTTGTTGCAGAGAATGATGAGGTAGAGAAATTCTATAAAGAATTTGACAAGCTCTTCAACACAAGTCAATGTATATGTTGGTATTCAGGAAGGTAGGCACAGGAAAAGATTTTGGAGAGTATGGTTTGGGTTTGAGAAACAAAAGAGACTAAGTAAAGTCGTATAGGCTATTCAGAAGACTTATGCCTAATTATCACACACACACACACACACACACACACACACTTCTTTTCAGAAGAGAGTTAGAAAGTACAGGATACCATCAAGCACATACACCTACAGAAGACATGAAACTATACCTTAATAGGAAATTACTAGTTATTCATGTGGAAGTCATATTAGAAAAGTCAACAGCAAACTAAAAATACAGTGAAGAAATAAAACATTGTGAAATATTGCAACTTTGACCTAACCTATTCATGATCTCTTGATGCCAAAAAATATTAATCTCAATTACCAACATTTTCATTGAACCTTAGTCACCACAATGATGAGGCCAAGAGAGCTCTGAAAGCACCTTGCTATGGAAATATCAAGCAGAGAGGGGGGAAGGTAAACGCAAAATGTAACACCAGTTTGAAATACAAACTTGTCTGTAAATCAGTAGAGAGAAATATGGTCAAGGATTGGGAGCAGTATCAACTCATGAAAGAGAGAAAGAGGAAGAGGAGGAAAAGAAGAAAGAAGCTTGGCGTGAAAGTCAGCTCCAAATCACCCCAAGAGCATCCAGATAAAATTGTCAAGAAGACAACAAATAGACAGAAAAAGTGGAACAAAACTGATATTTCTATAAGAATCCTTTTCCATCAGCTACAGAGGAACAACTACATTTGGACCCCAACACTTCTCATTATGCCCCACAAAGAGAATAAAATGGTATCTAAGAAGTTGAAATGAAGAAGAGTGACTGGGTATCAGCAATAATACAATAAAAAAAAATCCATGCTAGAAGTGACAGCACTGGGGGATTACTTTATAATGTATCTCAAAGCCTGGAAGATATCAAATTATTGGGAAAAATTATAGATGATATTGTTACTCCACAAAAGGCAACCGTAAACCGGTAGCATATTGTGATCTATATGTATACTTTCTCATCTTTACAAACTCCTGGTACATAAGAGTTTACATATGTATCTGAGAGTCCTTGATGAAAAATGAGAAAAACACAGTCAGGTGCTTAGAGATTATTTCCTAAATGTATGTAAATGCTAATGTCTTTATAGTCACACAAGTGACTGAAGGATACAGAAAATACAAGATTGGCCACGTTTATTGTTTGTTGATTACAAAAAAAAAAATTTGACTCAGAGGATTATTGACTCAGTAGAGATTATTCTTCAAAGGCCATCCAGTTCAACATTTCCTCACATTTTATAGTTGAAGAAGCTGAGGTCCAGAGATGTTAAAAAAAAAAGTTATCCAAGGCCACATATGGAGTAATTAGCACAGCTGGGATTTCGATCCAGGACCTCTGATGCCAAATACCTTTTTCTACCATCAGTACATGTTGCCTCTAACAAGGAATCTCCTGTGCATATGTGAAAATTATACAAGATTCCTTAATAAATGCAACCATTGAAATAGTTCTGTCTAGGAGACTCTAATGATCAAATAAAACTCTTAAGCAGAGAGGCCTGTGCTTGCCAAAAGTAATTTACATTACTATAGATTACTAATCTTCTACGACTCTGATAGTGATTGTCTTATACATGGTCTATGTGGAAAAAGAAATTCCCTGGACATGGCGAAGGATGTTCTATAGGTGGCAAAGTCTTCCAGAAATTTGTTTCCAGATGTTCTTGCACTGAAGAACATTACAGGACCTCTTCAATGAGAAACACTCAGATTATCAGAACAAATACTATACAAAAAACTAAATGGATGGAAAATACCTTTTGTCCAATCTATGATATGCGATTGGATGGCAAGTCTATTAGCACAGGTTCTGTAGATGGACAGTAAGCAGGGCCCAAAATAAAATAGGAGGAAGAGAACAACTAAACTACATTTGAGAATGTACATAGTGAATGTAATGACTTGAAGCTGTTTCTTAGAGCAAAAGCCCATCTATGTAACACGGATGTTCTCCCGAAAGTTTATGGTTACAAAGCTTGGAACATCACAGTCTCGAGAATCCAAGAGATGCATCATGGGTATTAGCAGGATGTGGCATATTTTCAATGATGACCTCAGCACAAGAAATGGAATAAGGAATATCAAGGTATTGTACAATCAGAAAAGGACACGGGCCTGTCAATCACATGGCAAGAAGTACATGAAGGCTATACAGCCAAAGTGTTGTGTACTAGTGTACAAAAAATAGAAAAAGACCTAGCAGAAGGCTCCTAGCATTTCAGTGGATCTTCTCAAGAGAGTCTATGGGAAGGCATGGAAAAGAATCACACGGGGCAGCTAGGTGGCACAATGGATGGAGCACCAGCCCTAAAGTCAGGAGGACCTGAGTTCAAATCTGACCTCAGACCAAACACTTGCTACTTACTAGCTGTGTGACCCTGGGCAAGTCACTTAACCTCAATTGCCTTAAAAAAAAAAAAGAAATCACACAGGGTAAAAAAGCATGGATACGTCATGACCTGTGTCAATGGAGGAAGCGCCCACTTTGATGAGATCAGAGATACTTTGAAGTGACAAAGTGGGTGACATGTGAACTGGGTGAAGAGAAGCATTTCAACCAGCATGGAAAAATGGAGCAAGAGACATTATTGGGGCAGCTAGGTGGCACAGTGGACAGAGTACTGGCTCTGGAATCAAGAGGACCTGAGTTCAAATCCGGCCTCAGACACATAACACTTACTAGCTATGTGACCTTGGGCAAGTCACTTAACCCCCATTGCCTAGCCAAAAAAAACAACAAAACAAAACAAGAGACGTTATCAAGGACTTAACTGCTTAGAAAAGGAAGCAGGTCGATCCTTTTTCGAGAATGAAGGGCAACATGAGGACTGTCAACATGTAGACCATGGTATCAATAACAGAACCAGTAAAAGTAAAATGGTTATCTCTCTATACAGAGAATTCATGGAAGGATATGGACAAGAATCCCACAGGGTAAAGTTTGAGGGTCAGAGACGTCCACTGGTGGCATTGGTGCCTATTCTGGATCTAAGCTATCAAACCGTTAATGTCCTATTCTGATGCTTCATCATGGCCCAGAACTCTGGGTTCTAAGAAAGCTAGACCAGTGTAGCACAAACTCCGAAAGGTCCCAATGACTTGACACAAGCCAAGCTTTGAGAATGGGCCTGGTGATAGACTTGGTGTTTATTTTTATAGGCATAGTCTAGCTAAATTCAGAGAACATCCTCACCAAGAGTCCAAGAGTGTCTAATATTTTGGTCATGACAGCTCATAAATTCAATTCCATTTAATTGAGCAAGTGTTGATTAAGGGTCTGCTAGGCACAGAACACTATGCTAGGTACTTGGGCAAACAATGGCAGGAATGAAACAGTTCCTTCCCTCAGGGAGCTTACATCTACACGGCTGATGTGGAAACCTACACAGTCCAAAATTTAAACAAAATGCACACAAAGAGTTAGAGGGGAGGAGGAGTCAGGAAAAGCCTCATGTAAGAGATAGCACCTAAATTGAATCTTGAAGGAAACTAGGGACTCCAAGGAGCAGAGATGACAAGGGAGAGGGAAAGAGAAGGAAGGGAATAAACATGTATCTAGTACCTAGTATGTGCCAGGCATTGTGCTAAGTGCTTGACAATTATTATTCCATTCAATCCTCACAACAACCCGGTGAGGGAAAGGCTGTTATCGTCCTCATTTTATAGTTGAGGAAACTGAAATAAAGCGTTTAAGTGACTTGCTCAAAGACAAATAGCTGAGTCTAGGTTTAAATTCAGCCCTTGCTGACTCCAAGCCTAGCCCTGGGAGAGGCATACAAGGTCTAGGAGTAAGCCTGTGCAAAGGCCACAGAGGCAGGAAATGGAATGTCACCCATAGGGAACAGCAGGGAAGAGTAGATCAAACTGGCTGGAATTTTTAGTGCATGGCAGGTGGGTGGTAATGGGAAATCAGTCTGGGATCAGAGCCTGATTGTGAAAGGTTTTAAATACTAAAGAGAGGTGTTGATATTTTATCCCTGAGGCAATTAGGGAACCACTGACCCTGCTTGAGTGACCGGTTGGACCTGTATTAAAATGTAGAGGGATGGTGATCTGTAATGGTGAAGGAAGCCCCCATTACTGGAATCACTGACTTTTTTTTAAAAAAATTAAAAATATTAAAAATTTTAAATAAAATTTTTTTAAAAAGCTAATAGCTCTCTTTCCAGTCTGTCACATGCCTAAAGCCTGACGAGTAGAATTTTATTCCTTGAGATTAAGTAATATCTTTTTTAGACTCTTAATTTAAAATGCAGAGCCCCCTGAGATGAGGATACACTAAGCCATTAAAATAGTCTTCAGCACTTTAGCATGAACGTGTCAGACTCTTTCCTCCCTAAAAAGGGATTATGCCACTTAGAGAACGGGAGATATGGGACACAAAAGACAAGCTAGGTTGACTCCTGGGGGACTGTGAAGCAATACCAGTTTGAGACAAATCTGGAGATTAACAAACCCAGCAGAAAAAGTCTGCCCCACACAGCTGCTGCCTGGCCAGCGCTCTTCCCCATACAAGGTCTGTTGCTGGTGCACACCTCCTGCCTCCTACCACTCTGCTCACCTGCAGGGCTGCCTTGTCCACCTGGAAGGAATCCATGAGGACCATTTTTTCCTTTTCATGAGAGGCCTGGAGTGCTGCAGGGAAAGGGCACCATGGTTAGCTCAGCTACCCAGAAGACTTGCCCCCAGCCAAGAAAGTGTCCGCTGTTACCAGAGGCCTGAAGAATCTAAGACTCAGTCAGACAACCAAGAAATAACTGGGAAACAAGAATGTCCTGGCATAGTTAGCATTTTAGCCCACTACAGTAAAAATAATTCTAAGAAGCAAGAGACCTCAGCTCTAGTCACTGTTCACTACCAATTTGCTGCGTGAACTTGGAAGTACCTTCACCTCCCTGAAAATGTTTCATCATCTGTAAAATGAATATATCAACTCCTGCCTACCTCACAGGACAGTTATAAGGATCACATTAGCTAATGGATGGCACCATTAAAACCCTATACTCTAGCTAGCTCTTTTGTTGATTTCAGGGTAACAAAGAGAAAGTAATTATTATTATTATTATTGTCGTAGTAGTAGTAATAGTAGCAGTACTATTAATAAATAATAATAAATAATAGTAATAAATAATAAGTATAATAATAATAGCATTTAGGTAGTATTTTAAGGCTTACAAAGAGCTTTACAAATACCTCATTTGATCCTCATGACAGCCCTGAAAAGGAGGTACTGTTATTACATCCCCATTTTACAGATGAAGAAACTGCTGCAGATAGGGGTTAAGTGATATGCCAGGATCACATAAAGAACTAAATGAGGCCAGATCTGAACTCAGGTCTTTCTGACTTCTGGTCTAGCACCACGAAGCTGCTTCTGACTCAATCACAGGTTGAGCCTTCTAGAAGAGTGGGAGCTGCTGGGTAGTATGAAGTAATGGTCAGGTCTGACAAGTAAGGACTGAGGCATATAGCCTGAACTTTAGGCTCAAGAATTCCTCAGCCCAGCTCTGAGCTTCCTGGTTAGTTTCCTTTGGAGTTAAAGGATAGAATTCTGAATTCGGGAGCCTAGTATGAAGATGTTTCTCCCCTTGTTCCCTTAAACGGAGGAGGGCATTAACAAAGTGACATTTGTATTGTATTTGTATTGTATGGAAAAGGCTAGGTTTTAGAAACACCCTTCCCATTCAGACATATCTTTAATAGAGACTCTTTAACGGGCTCATAAAACTAGAGCCATAAGGATTCTCAGAGGCCATATATAGTTCTACTCCCTCATGTTGTAGGTGAGGAAAATAAAGCCAAGTGAGGTTAAATGACTTTTCCAAGGTCTCACAGACAGTGTTGGAGATAAGATTTGAACCCAGGTAATCTGTCTCTACATTCACTGTTCTTTCCTATTCATCACATTTTTTTTTAAGGCAATTGGGGTTAAGTGACTTGCCCAGGGTCACACAGCAAGTAAGTATCAAGTGTTTGATCTGAGCCCACATTTGAACTCAGGTCCTTCTGACTCCAAGGTCGGAGTTCTATCCACTGCGCCACCTAGCTGCTCCCATTCGCTGTTCTTTCCACGGTACCATGATGCTTCTCTTAGAAAGAGTATGGGATTAGAAGTCAAGATGCCTGGGTTCCAAAACCATCTCTGCCTCCAGTTGTGGGAAGAGACTCAAGTTCTGTGGGACTCAAATTCTTCTTAGATGAATTTAAAGGAAATTGGTTTAGTTGATCTCTAAGGTCCCTTATATTCTAAGTCTTAACTCCCCCAATTATAATGACATTCTATGATTCTGTGCCTCTCAGTAGAAACAGCACAGGAAGCATGGGGAGACATTCCAAGACTGGAGGAAGGAAAGGGTGTTCTAAGGTGTGGTTCCCCAGCGTGAGGCACCTTGGTGGGGCACTTCCTATTACCTGCTTCTAAGCAAGATGTACCATGTTTCCTCAGGTATGTCAGGGCATTCCTATCTCCACACAACAAATTTAGAGTTTATCCCCAACCCCACCCACAGTGGTGGCCCCAGAAACATTTCCTCCCATTCCCAATCAACAGGCTCTATGAGTCTAGGAGTGAGGCCTTTACTCAACCCAAGAAGGGGCTATACCAGTCACAATATCTCTGCCTCCTTCTCTTCCCCAGTCATTGCTTTGGCCAATTCAGTGCTGAGGTGAGGAGACCAGGTCAGGAGCCACTTCCAGACTTTCTTAGGACCACGCACAGACATGAAGACAAACAGACCTCTAGCAAAGGAAGTCTGCTCTCCTGGGAATATGGGAGAAATTAAGATTCCTGCAGGAAATCTATGCATGCATGTGTGCACACACATGAAGAAAGGGACCAGATAACCAAACAAAATAGACTCTGTAAGAAAATTTTCATCTTTAAAAGTGTTACTACCCAAAGAGCACTGAAACAGTGGCCAGAGCCAAGATGGCCAGTAAGGGTTTAATTGGCTGTTCATTGTCATACCACTTTCATATGATACCAGAATCTCTAACTACGAAAAGATATTCCCTTTGCACTGGCTGATTCAGGACCACAGACAGCATCTAATTGCCACTGAGATACAACCTTAAGCTGCTAGTAATTAATATTCCATCGGAGGGGTAGCTAGAGGTGCAGTGGATAGAGTACCAGGCCTGAAGTCAGTCAAATTCAGCCTCAGACACATACTGGTTGTGTGACCCTAAGCAAGTTACATAACCTCAGTTTGCCTCAGTTTTTTCATCTATAAAATGGGGATAATAATAGCACCTATCTCTCAGGGTTGTTGTGAGGATCAAATGAGAATAATAATTGTAAAGTGCTTAACACAGTGCTTGGCACATAGTAAGCCCTACCTAAATGTCAGCTATTCTTACCTCTATTAACAAGCCCTCTGAGAACAAAGCTTCTTTCTCACAATATCACTGTGAGGTACAGGAATGTAGGCTTTGTTAATAGAGAGGTCCAGAAAGGGTAAATAACTAGCCCAGGTTCACATAGCATGCTAAATAGGAAGATCAGAACTAGACCCCAGTTCTTCTGACTTGGCCCAGAGCTCTAACTCAACCTTGTACTAAACTTACAAATCTAAATTTAGAGAGTGATTAGAAAGGCTCTGCCATGATGGCGGATATACGCTGTCTAATAGCTCCTGCACTTTCAGCGGACCCTTGATCCAAAGGGTGATCCCACATGTGAAGGTTTGGGCAAGGACATGATCCCTTTTGGGAAAAGCATCCCAGGTACCAGGTGAGCTAGGTCTGTTACTCCCCTGGGAAGGCAGAGGCCCCCCCCCAGAGTTTTAGAGGAGCTGCTCCCACCCTTACCTTGTAAGGTCTCTTCGTGCTCCCTTTGCAATACTTTGAGCTGCTCAGCAAGTTTTTCACGAAGCTCTAATTCCTGTTCATCCACCACCTGGAAATAAGGCAGGCCCAGGGGACAGTGGGTTGGAGTCAATTAATTCCCTACCATTATAATTCCAAGCGCAAGTTTCATCGACATCAGGACTGGCAAGGACCTTAAAGATCACCTAGTCTGACTCACTCATTTTACAAAGGAGGAAACCAAATCCCAGAGAAGTGAAGTGATTTACCCAAGATCACACCAAGAGTCAATGACAGAGATGGGAAAACGGGTCTCCTGACTGTGAGTTTAGTGCTGATTCAGATGGGGCAAACTATGTGGAAAATTCCTTTTTGCCCTTAGGAATAAGAGCTTTAAAAACATCAAGGAAAGGAACTCCAAGCTTACTGACCTGGGTCTCTTCATTATGGAATGGCTCGTTGGTTATTTCCCTCCTATATTCTTTCAAATGCTACCTCCTTCCAGGCAGGAAGGTAGGTTATATCCTGAGAAAATCTATAGGGTAAAGGAAACTGCGGGAACCTGGGCCAGGGAACCCACCTGGATTTCCACTTCCCTGGTCTGATGCTCTGGGCTCAGCTTCTCTGACTCTTTTTGATGCTTCTGGAGAGCATGGACCATGTCCAGTTGCTGCTGCTCATCATGGAAGAGATGAGGATCTGGGTCTATAAGGAAAACCAGATCATGAGTCCATTGGGGTAGTTGGGGGGGGATGGGACCTAGTTGGACAATATGGTTAGCATGGTCCCTATCCTTGTAAGTAGGAGGACTGTGGAGTTAACCGGACCGGAGGATGCTGGCCCAAGACCAATCATTAGGGAACAATCACACCTTTAATTATGTAATACTGATTAACTTTTACCAGACCTATAATTTTATAAATGTATGGGACTCTTTAATGAGGGGACAATCCTCTGCCTGGCACCTTCTTTGACACTTACAGCCTTACAAATGCATATTTGTTACAAGGGTTTGGCTTTTTGTTTGTTTGTTTGTTTTTGGTAATCAGAGGAGAGTGCGGGAGGGGAAAAATAAATGGTAATTGAAAAACAATTTTTTTTAAAACATATTTTGGAGAGTTGCCTGGGACATTGGCAAATTCAGTGCCTTCCTCAGGGTGACACAGTCAGTATGTTCTAGAAGCAGAATTTGAATGTATGTCTTTCTGTCTTCAAGTCCAGTGCCCTATTCATTATGTCACACTGCATCTCCAAATATTAATTTTTATGGAGGAAGAAAATGCGATCCAAAAAATGGCAGCATGGTATAATGGAAAGAATACTGGATTGGAATTAAGAAACACCTGGTTTTGAATCACATCCACCCCTGACATCCATTAAGTATGGGCATGAATTGATAATTTATGAAATTATGAAATGGGGGTCGGCACACTTGATTCTTTGGTCACTCACTAGGAAAGACTACAATTGGCAGAGGGAAATGCAGTAGCTATCCTACTTAAATAATACACAGAAACACGCAGCAAAAAGTAGGCACACCGTGCTGTGGGGACAGTGAAGGAGGCAGTGGAGAAAAGGATGGGGAGGGGAGAGAGGCAAAGAATATCACTCAGGTAGCCATGAATTTGGGAGTTGGGAACACTTGTTAGCAAGGACCCTATGGAGAAGGAAGACTGCTGGGGGTGGGGCAGGAAAGAATCTGAGGTCTCATTTTTGTAGGATTTTTTATCGAAGCAAACCAACTCCTATCTATGCCACCTTGGGGTTAGTTCATTAACATATCCAAATCATCTCCAAGTTATTGCTAAAACTTTAACGTTAACATGTCCATATCATCTCAAAGTTATCAGCACCTTCTAATGTTCTGCTGGTCTGGAGCTGTGGACATCTGCATTTTTTCTAGAATTTACATATAATAGGATTTTTTCTAGAACGTACATACTGTGTGGCAGCTAGGTGGCGCAGTGGATAGAGCTACAGCCTTGGAGTCGGGAGGACCTGAGTTCAAATCCAGCTTCAGACACTTGCCACTAGCTATGTGACCCTGGGCAAGTCACTTAACCCAGATTGCCTCACCAAAAAGAAAAAAAAGAAAAAAAAGAACTTACATACTGTTTGACAAGGAGTGCCTAGGGTTTTCCTGATTCAACACATATTACCAGAATGTGAATTTTGGTTAATATATGATACAAATTTGTGAATTATTTCCTTTGATGGTTGGGATAGCTTGTATGTGACTTCCAGGTTCCCCTTTGCAATATTCTTTCCTGTTATTACCCCTTTATGCTGGCCACTTACAAGTTTACTACACTGACTAGGGGTGATCGGTCAGGGGGTGGAGAACAAGGGCAAGTCACTTCCATTCTTTGAGCCTTTGAGTTTCTGCATCTGTAAAATGGGGGCAATATCAGTAGTACCAAGGGGTTGCTACTCAATAAACATTTCTTCAGCAATTGCTATGTGCTAAGCAGACACTGTGTTAAGCACTGTTCTCTGCCCTCAAGGAACTCACATTCTAATGAGGGAGACAGCATTCAAACAATTATGTACTTTCAAAATCTATACAGAGTAGGTGAAAAGTAATCTCAGAGGGAGGGCACTAGTAGGGGTGAGGGTGAGGGTAGGGGTGGGACAAACTGGAAAAAGCCTCCTACAGAGGGAGTTATTTGAGCTGAGCTTTGAAGGAAGTCAACAGGTAGCAGTCAAGATGGAGAGCCTGGAGAACCAGCCAGTGAAAAGGTACTGGGGTTAGATGTGAAGTATCATGTGCAAAGACCAGCAGAAGGTATTTGTTGCTGGGCTGGAGAATACATGAAAGGAGTAAATTGAAAGAAGACTAGAAAAATTGGAAGGAGCAAAAAGGAAGCGCTTTAAATACCAAATAGATTTTATGTTTGATCTCAGAGGTAATAAGGAACCATTGGAATTTCTTATTTTTTTTTTGGTGAGGCAATTGGGGTTAAGTGACTTGCCCAGGGTCACACAGCTAGTAAGTGTCAAGTATCTAGTCTGAGGCCAGAATTGAACTCAGGTGCGCCTGACTCCTGGCCCAGTGCTCTATCCACTGCGCCACCTAGCTGCCCCACCATTGGAACTTCTTGAACTGGGGGGAGTGTGTGTGTGTGTGTGTGTGTGTGTGTGTGTGTGTGTGTGTGTGTGTGTGTTTGATTTTGTTTGTCTTTTGTTTTCGAACAGGGCCAATGACATCAGGAGAATGATGTCTTGGCTTGGAGCCGAATAGGATTTAAGTGAGGCAGAGCTGTGCAAAGTCATCAGCCCCACTCTCTCCTCCAAAATTATCAGAGTCCAGTGGCAAGACATAGGTCAGGATGACTGGTGATTGGTCCCCTTTGCTTTAGGAAAATTGCTTTGGCATCTGAACAGTGGAGAGAGACATGAGTCAAGGAGGCTAGGGGGGTATTGCAATAATCCGGGGGCAAGATGTAAAAGCCTGCACCATGGTGGTAGCTTTTTAAGTAGAGAGAAGCAGATATATGCAAGCAATGTTGTCAAGGTATAAATGACAAGACTGGTCAGCAGATTGGATCTGTGTAGTGGATGTGACAGAAGAGCTCAGGATAACATAGAGGTTTCCAGCTTGATTGCCTGGAAGGATGGTGGAGCTCTCAACAAAAATAGGAAAGCTGGGAAGAGGGGAGGGCTTAAAGGGAAAAGTGACCTCTAGGTCAAGATATCCAAAACATAATTGATGATGTGAGTCTGGAGGTCAGAAGAGACTTTAGGGCTGGATTGATCTTGAAATTACCTGACTATACAGTGTGGCTGTGAGGATCAAATGATGTAATAATGTATGTAAAGCATTTTATAAACCTAAAAGCAAAACAGCAATGGGGAACTTGAGGCCACATGTGGCCTTCTAGGTCCTCGGGTGCAGCCTTTTGATTGAGTCCAAGTTTTAAGAAAAAATCCTTTCACGAAGGGGATTTGTTCTGTGAAGTTTGGATTCAGTCAAAGGGCCACACTTGAGGACCTAGAGGGCTACATATGGCCTTGGGCCACAGGTTCCCCACTCCGGTGATACCAATAACTGCTATTAACATTATTAAGCTATGCTGGTGAAAAAACTTCAATATTCCTATATGGCTTGCTTGCCTTGTCCAGAGGTCCTGGGTCCTTCACCCATATCATTCCCTGCTGTGGACTTACTTCTGCCTAGCAAACCCTGGGCGGAATACCAGTGGAATTCCTTTTCACTGAAGTATTGGTGGTGGATAAAGGCTTAGTATAACGTCCCTCCCAGAGAAGAGCTTCAGCACAGAGATTTTGCCCAATCTTACCCACTCCTAAATCACACGCTTTCCAATAAGGGCAGCTGTGGCCATGCTTATTCTAAGAACAGCAATCTCTCTTTTAACACCCTTTGCCTCTCCCATGTGACCTATGTGAAGCTTACATGTCTGACTTTACCCTCTTGAAATGCAGCAACTGTCCCTTATGAAAAGCTTATGCAGAGGAGGACCTGGGGATGGGGTGAACCTGATTTGTTCACACTTCAGGGGTCAGGGCTAGGATGGAGAAGAACTTTCCTTTGGGCCCAGTGGCCTAGAGGGAAGGCCACTTCTTTTTCCCATGTAAGTATCAATTGGAGACAAGAGCCAGGGATTTTTCTTTCCCTTCTCAGAGAAGGCTCATACCCTACTACAGTTTACCTAGCTCTCAACCAGCCAGTCAACTTTAAGATTTATAATAGAAAAGGATAGTTGAAAGGCAATTAGAATTAGGATGTATTTATAGACCACTTTATTTAACACTTTAATTTTACAGATAAAGAAATTGGGGACCATATGGCAGAAGGGATTTGTCCAAGACAACAATTAATTTAGTATACTGAAGACCATATTTTAGGAGGAACACTGATAAGCTAGGAAGTGTCCAGTGACAGAAGTACAAAAACATTTATAGTACCTCTTTTCATGGAGGCAAAGAACTAGAAACTAAGGAGATACTCATCAATTGGGGAATGGCTAAACAGATTTTGGTATATGAATATAATAGAATACCATTGTGTCATAAGAAATGATAAAAGGGACGGTTTTAAGAGAAACCTGGGAAGGTTTATATGAACTCACAGAGAATAAAGTGAATGAGACCAGCAGAAAAAATTGATAAAATAACAACCACATTCTAAATAAAGTCAAATAACTTTGAAAGACTTCAGAACTCTAATCAAGGCAATCACTAACCAAGATTCCAAAAGACTGATGGTGAAGCATGCTTCCCACCTCCTGACAAAAAAGTGACATATACAAGACCTAGAATGAAGCAAACATTTGTGGACACAGACAATGCAGTAATTTGTTTGATTTGGCTCCGTGTATTTGTTACAAGGGTTTAGTTTGGTTTTGCTTTGCTTTCCGTTGGAGGTGGGGTGAGGGAGAAAAAATAAATGCTTGTTAAGTGAAAAAAAAAAGATAGAGAGAAAATAGGTATCCAGGGAAAGACAACAAGAGGGGGCAGCTAGGTAGCACAGTGGATAGAGTACTGAGCTGGAGTCAGGAGGCCCTGAGTTCAGATCAGGCCTCAGATACTTGACACTTACTAGCTATATGACCCTGGGCAAGTCACTTAACCCCATTACCTAGCCAAAAAAAAAAAAGACAACAAGAATGTTCAAAAGTCTTGAGATCATGCTATAATAAGGGCTATGGATGTTTAGCCTGAACAAGGTAGACAAACAGTAGTTGGGATATTTCACAGGCTATGTGGAAGAGGCATTTGGTTTGTGCTTGGCCCCAGTGAGTAGAAATAAGGGAAGGGAAGAGAATGGAAGGGAAGGGAAGAAAGAAAGGAAAATAAGGGAATGAAGTGGCAAAGAGGCAGATTTAATCTAGATGAAAGGAAAAGCTTCCTAAGATTACAATTATTTTACGGTGGAATGCGTTGCTTCAGGAGAAAGCAGGTTTCCCCTCACTGAGGTCTTTGGGCACAAGCTGGATGACACCATATTCATTTAGTTATGGATGTTATAGAGACGTTATGGAGGGGGGTGGGTTATTGCTCGGGTATGGGCTCAAGGTCCCTTCCAACTTCAAGATTTTTTGGTTCAGGCCAGAGGCAATACTGAGGAATGAGTCAATTACCTGAGACGCAGCTCTGGAAATACAATCCTGATCAGAACATACCCAACTAGCATTTTACCAGGGGCCCAGAGGAGGAGAGAGGCAGGTGTCAGTGTCAAGGAACAGACAAAATGGGCCAGGGACAACTTAATAGGACTGAGCTGTTCCAGTTGGGGAGATGCAGTCTCCTCTTCCAGTAGGAGACTTGTGGGGTAGAGGGCATTAAAAGAACTTCTCACCTTTGTCTTTTTGCAAGGGGTCCAGCTCAATGGGCTCAGTTCTTGGTGGCTGCCCTGCCTCTCGGCGCCTCTGAAAGAAACCAATATAAGGACCAAGTCAATAAACACAAATGATGGTAGCCAGAGGAGAGTGAGGAGTAGAACCCAGGTCCTGCAGAGGGCAGCTGACTCTTGTAGGGAAGATAGGGCAAGGGATGCCATGAAATAGAAGGAATCGTCCTCTTACTTGGCTCTTTCCACAACCAGTACTGTCTAGCAGTGGTTAAATCCCTCAGGGGGTGTTTTCATTGCATAGTCCTGGTCAGTTAAGTCTGAGCTCTTCAGCTAATTTCTGTCTGTCTCTCCTCCACCCTCATCTTCACTGGGACCTGCCAAGCCTCTCTATCTACCCTGTTCCCTAATCTAGCCTAAGCTTTCAGGGGCATTTGCCTTCAGGGGCTGTTCTGGTCTCTCTAAGAGTTAGACCCCACACCCACTGATTGCAACCCATCCATACCTTCTTATTCTCTGTGACACATCTATATCCTCCTCTAAATCCTCCTCCATGGTGGGGGAAGGGGAGCATATTCCTTTAGGTCTTTCTGCTTTAAGTGGATACAAATGCAGTACTCTCTTTGAATGGATGAACTTTCTCTCTTTTCCCCCTAATTTCATTTGGAGCAGCCAGGTGACACAGTGGATTAAGCACTGGGCCAGGAGTCAGGAAAATCTGAGCTCAAAACTGGCCTCAGACAGAAGCTGTGTGACCCTAGGTAAGTCACTTAACTGCTATTTGCTTCAGTTTCCTCAGGTGTAAAATGAGGATAAAACAGCAACTGCTTCACGCAGATCAAATGAGATAATAATTATAGACACACACATATTATCCCTTGGCAAATAGCAGGTGCTATATAAATGCTATTCCCTTTTCCTTCCTTCAGTTAAACTCTCCTTTCTTCAGATTTAAGTCCTCATAGGGCCTGGGGCACTGCCACAGTCATCCCTCTTCTACATCTTTAACTACTCTCTGATAATGACTAAGGCTTGTGGGGTTGGGGGGGGGAATGAGGGAGGAGAGAAGGAAACCCTGCTGAGGCTTGGACTGAACGGCATTTGGGAAATGATGCACTATTTTCAATGACCTCATGTTGTTCTCTGAAATGAAAGTCTATCTTTTTAATACTACTACCCTTCTAGTAATGCTATTGGACAGCAATTCCTAGAATTTCTCCAAGGAAGGAAAATTGTACATTATTTAAAGTACAACAGAGAGACAAATGGCAGGCAGATATAGGCTGAAGCGTATTCTGAACAAGGAATCATATGCATGCGCAATACAGAAAGAGACTATCAGAGACAGGTAGATGCAGAGAAGGAGGTGGGCTAATCCCACAGTGACAGGTAAGGGGTGACAGAGAGACAGCCCGGGTATTTCATTTGTATCACATAATGTCAAAAAGCCTAGAGGAACATTTCCTGTACCTTGTGTATAATACCTTCACACCCTCAGTATTTAGGGGAAGACAGAGAAGTGTCATAGGTATGTGTGTAGGAAGGTATAAATGGGAAGCAAACTGTCTCCCTGGAGAGAGTTCTCATATCAATGAGATCAGAGATCTATCAAAGTGTTGCTTTAAGTATTTTTATCCTTGCTGTCTAGCAATAATGGGATCTTTTAAAACAAGAGGCTGAACACACAGCTGGCCACACAAGAGGTTCAATATATAACGGTGATTCGGGTAAGCCACAACCCTACCCTCTGAGGACTCACGGTCTATCTGGAGGCGCTGAAGGCACTGCCTTTCAAGCTAGAAGACTGAAGCACTTGGAGGGCCCTTGGCTCTCTGCCTTCAAGAAGTGCCCCCACTTAAAGCAGAAGGTCACTTAGAGGAGTTTCCCTAGTCCAGCACTGGGAATAGTTGGAAGATGCACTAATGAAGTCATTAGGTAGTCACTGGGTGATCTTGTGGCATGGAAGTAGTAAACTTCTAAAGGAGGTCACCCTATATACTACAGGCCTGTACAATTTGCGGGCTGGCCTGAGAAAAATGTAGAGGAAAACATCCTTTGTATGCAGAGAAAATTCTTCGGTGTGCTGCAAGAGGGCTGCGGGTTGCAGCAGGCCTGTTATACTTCATCCTTGCCCTAAGAGCTTCAGGGAATCAGAAGAGGAAACAGAGAGAGGATTGTCAAGGGCGGTCCTGGAGACATCGAGGCAATATAAGGCTCTAAAAGAAAGATCTAACACTTAGAGATGTCTCAAAACAGAAACAGATCACCTCCAGATCGATTGTTTCCCCATCATTGGAGGTCTTTAAGCTGAGGTTGGGCGAGCTCAGGTACATGCAGGTCGGTGTGTGCTGGAGAGAGAGCCCTATTTGAAGTCAGGAAGAGTTGGCTTCAAAACCTATGTCTGAGACTTACAGGTTCTAAATCTCTGATCCTATTATCTCTTTGAGGTTCAAACTCTGATATAATCTATGCTCAGAAGACCTTTGATCTCCTATTGTATCAGAAATTTAGCTGGGGTGAAAAATGGGATGAGTTAGTCTCACTACAAATTGGGATTCCTCCACACTCTGCTAGACTTGAAAGGTATCCTAGAAGCAGAGGGTCAACATGTATCCCTGGTCTTGCCCGGCTCTGCCCCAAGGCCCATACCAGTGGTGGCCTCCTTTGTAGTATCTGGGTCCTCTACTGACAGATCCTTGACAAAGTGAGGTACAGGATCTGAAAGCTGCCACACACCAAGTTGATTCACAGAGAGTCGGGGAGGGGCAGGAAGGACGGAGAGGCGGGAGGCCCATGGGGCCTCTTGGGGAAGAAAGGGGAGGGGCAGGACGGAAACCCAAAGCTGCAGAGAGATTATTGTGTGCACAACCAGATTAGAGAAATTCAGAGAGAAAATCATTGTTGCCTGACACTAAATAGATCTGTTTCCCAATCGGTAAAAGGTGTAGTTGTACTCCTCAGATTCAAAAATCTAAGAATTTTATTGCCACTAATGCCACTAAATAGATATATCGGCCTGAGTATGCCTTGGGGACAGGGAGGGGGAATGCTTCGTTTACATCTTGAACTCTTCACAAAGGTTCCTTTCCCTTTAGCACAAAACTCCTACAAATACCCTGGTTGGGCAAGTCTCCTTGTATGGAGATGCCTAAATAGCACAGGGACATTTTAAGTGATAGCTATCCCAACCGACCTCTAGTTTTCTTTCTGCTACCCAGGGGTTAAGTCTCCCAGAGGCAGCCCAACATGGTTTGGAAGAAGGTATCTTCTCATCAACAATTCCTTTCCCCACCTTGGGGATTCACTCCTGAAAGCTGCGCTTCAGAATTGACCACATAAGGTCAATACCTAATGATAGTAAGCCATACATATATCAGAAAATTATAGAAATTCAGTTATTCTAACTTTAGACATGAGTAAGGGCAGCTTGGTGGTGAGCCAGGCCTGGAGTCATGAAGACCTGAGTTCAAACCTGCTCTAAGAGACTTACTAGCTGTGTAACCCTAGGCAAGTCACTTAAACCCTGTTTGCCTCAGTTTCCTCATCTATAAAATGAGCCAAGGGGCATCTAAGTGGTGCAGTGGATAGAACACGGGCCCTGAAGTCAGGAGGACCTGAGTTCAAATTCGGCCTTAGGCCAAACACTTGACACTTACTAGCTGGGCAAGTCACTTAATCCCAATTACCTAAAAAATAAAATAAAATAAAATAAAATGAGCCAAAAAAGGAAATGGCAAACCCCTCCAGTATCTTTGTCAAGAAAACCCCAAATGGGGTCACAAAGGGTAGGACATGACTGAAACAACTGAAGAACAACAGACATTAGAAGCAGCCCTATATGATAGAAAGAGCCCTGGATTTGCAGTCAGAGAACTTGGGTTCAAATCCAAGTCCTGCTATAGATTAGTTCTGTGATCTTGAACAAATCCCTTCCCCATTTCTGGGCCTCAGTTTCCCCATTTTTAAAATGAAATGGTCAGAATAGATAACTGTTGAGGTTTAGGGGTGCTGGGAACCCAAAATTCAAAGGTAAGCATTATGGGTCCTGCCTTGAATTTGACTCAAACCTTCCTTTCAGTCAAGAGACAAGGTTTATTAAAACACTGACTGAGGTGGGCAAGATTTTAAGAATCAGAGCTATTTGGTGATGCTTGTATTGACAAGCAGGCCAGACTCTTAAGGAATCTGAGCCTCTGTGATGCCAGTACAACTGGGCAGTCTCTTAAGGAATCTGAGCAATTTAATGGGGGCAAGATGGACACTTATATACAGTGGTCAAGGAGTGGCTGATAGCTTGGGTGACTGGGAGGGAACAGGGAAGGACCTGGAAGGGCCAGGTGCCCCAGGCAAACATCAGGGCCCTGGGCCACCTGGGAAAGTCCAGAGGCTTTTCCTTTTTGGGGTCCAGATCCCAAAGACATGGTCTTTTCCTTTCAGAGGTTCAGATTCCTTCCCTGTCATAACCACCAACTTTAAAATCCTAAACTCCTCACTTTTATTGGATTTAGCCCTAGCAAAAAGAAAGACACCATGTAGTCTGATTATCTCATTTGACAGAATAACTGAGACCCAGAGAAGGAAAGTAATCTGCCACAGGTCACATACTCAGTGAATTATAGAGCTGGGAGGAGGCCAGGGCAATTACCACCATATCGCGCTACTTACCTGCAAAAAGGATTCCTGTGCTGGGCACAGGCATAGCCTGGATAACCAGACCCATCCCTTCCCTCTCTGGTATTCTAAAATTCCATGATTTCTCTTATCAATATTTTATTAATGGCTGTTTCCTACAAGCCAGTTTATTAACTACAGAAGTATTGGCCTGGAGGGTGAGTGATCAATCTTTTCTAAGTGTGTCATAACCTAGTCAAATCTCTTAGTCAGCACGTGCAGAGTTGGGGAACCTACTGGTAGGTCCTGACTGCCCTCCTGCCAGATGTAGACATTATGTGTCAAGGGCAGGCTAGCTATGTCCTGCCCTCAATCTGGCCTGTCTAGTCTCAGCCCTCAGGGGGAGATGATGACAAAGATGATAGGGGCAACTAGGTGTTAGAGCACTGGCCTCTTAGACAGAAAGACCTAACTTCAAATTCTACCTCATATACTTACTATTGTGTGACCTTGAGTTAAGTCACTTAACCTCTCTCAGCCTCAGTTTACTCATAGGTAAAATGGGGGTATTAATAGCGCCTCATTCCTCGGCAGGAGTATGCTGATAAATGTTTAACAACTGGCTCATTTCCCCCCCCCCAAAATGTATTCATGACCCACTTTTTAAATTTAATCTGCATTACTAATACTCCCAAGGGTAGTTAGGAACCAGATTAAAATGTTATTGGAAAATGTTTAACAAAATAGATAAAAATACAATAGAACACAGATAATGTTAATACTTGGCTTTCTAAGTGACTATGTTCTATAGGGATCCTTATGTAAGGTTTAGTGGCTCCTGTTTCTATTTGATATCATCCTCTAGACAACCTATAAAACAATAAAACAAGCCTCAATTTGGTTGGTCCTCCCCAGCCGTCAGAAGCTAGTTCCAGTATGTCTTTTTCCACTCCTAGAGTTGTTGTGAGGACCAAATGAGTTATGTTAAGGATTACACAAATGTACACAATACAAGATAGATAATGTTGATTTGTGGTTTTCTAAGTCGGTATGCTCACCTGCAGGGGAATCTGTTTCTATTTGACTTTGACACCACTGACCCCAACCCATACTATGCAGAGGTTTTTTCACTTTTAAATATCATCATGATTAACACAAATATTGACATCTACCATCCTCTACTTGCTTATTATTCTATACGGAAATGACATTGAAACGCAAAGTCTGGCAAGTCTTTCCATGCTCCAAAACAGTCGTTTTAATACGGACTGGACAGTGTCCATGTTGTGTAGGTTGTCCAAGGTTCAGTCTGAGGGCAGAGCAATCTATCCCCACAAATTCATACTGTCTACTAAAGCATGATGAGTTGAAAGCTGTATGAGGGGAAGGAATACCCACATTCAGGTAATCCTGGCCTCTTGAAATGTTATTATTGATAATAATAATTTTGCCTTGACTTGAGATTTCATTGGTTTAGGGAACCCTCTGTTAGGTAACTCCCTCTATCAATGCAGTGGTAGCCTGGCTCTATAACTTAGCCTTAAAGGGCTACCTGGGTCACGGAGATGCTAAATAAGTTGGCCAAGGTCACAAAGCCAGTAACTGTGAAGAGGTGACACTTACACCCAGATCTTTCTAACTCTCAGGCCAAATCTATCCACTATGTCATGCTGCCTTATTCATCCTTATTATTATTAAATAACGACAGCAGCTCATATTTCCATCGTGCTTTCCTGTTTACACCTCTATGAGGTTTCATTATCAGTTTCTAGACCTTCAATCCCTCCTCCTGTAATTTCAACTAGTTTCCTCTCATCCCACTCTCGGCAATCCTGGGACAGGCTCTGGGGGAACAATAGGACCTGCTAGGGCTCTGGGGCAGGGAGCTAGCTGGCCTCTGTTTGGGTAGGGGCAGGTGCCAAGGAGAACGGTCTCAGGAGCTCAGGCTGCCCGCCAAGGATTGGCACCTGGAGGAGGAACTTGCTCGACATCAGTGAGAAGGGAGACGGACTGAACTTTAAACAACAAAAAAGAAACCAGTCCATCCTGCCATGTAAGGGCACGGGTTGGGCACTAACAGTACAGTGTGGGCAGAGGAGAAACACCAGGATACTCATTTGCAGCCAGGATGAGTGAGGGTTTCTGTGCCAAAAGGCTTTGCAATCAGTGATTACCCATGCTGCCCAGATATCTTCTTAGGTAAGAAAGCCTAGTCAGTTCCCTGTCTGAGGGGGTGGAGAGGGAATGGACACACCTTCTCCGGATCAGCCTGGCCATTCCCCAGGGCAGAATTCTGGTCACAGGGTTCTGGCTATGGCTGTCCTCTCTTACTCCAAGAAAGCTCACTTTACTGGTCTTCTTTGCCTACAGTCTTTCTCCCTCCAATCCAACTCAACACTGGCAGAGCAATCTAACTAATACACATCCCTTTTCTCCTTAAATATGTTCAGTGGCTCTCCAATTTCTACTGGATAAAGTACAAACTCCTTCGCTTGAATTTAGGGAACCTAATCTCACTCTACCTTTCTAGCCTTCTTCAAGTGAATTAATGTTTATTAAGTACCCACTGTGAACAAAGCATCCCATTCCCTCCCATACTCTTAGGTTGTTTGGTTGAAATGTGTCACTATGTCTCAAACGTATTCTCCCCTCCCCCTTTCTGGCGTTGGTGTTTCCCCCCTCATTATCCCTATGCCTTTACTGTCCCATTCTCCTCATTTTTGCTTGCTGACACCCCTCCAGGCCTACTTCAAATGTTACCTCCTCCAGGAAGTCTTCCCTAATCAGTAGTAATGTCTCTCTCATCTGATCTCATAGCATTCCTCTTAGGCACTGATCACAGGGTACTTCGTATTTTAAAACATTTGTGCCAGCATCTTTTAGATTATGAGCTCATTGAAGATAAAGGTGGTGCCTCATTTACTTCTGTCTTCCCAGGGAACATAGGCAGTGGCTATAATACTGGCATCAGAGTAGGAAAATCTGGGTTCAAATCCTGCCTCAGACTTTTATTGTGATTCATTTAAAACCTCTATACCTCAGGAAGCTACCTAAAACTTAAATACTAAATCACAGTGTTGGTGAGAGTTCCTCACCAGGAAGATCACAGATCCTTCACATATCCTTCATTAGTACCCTTACACGCTTATTAAATGCTCATTAAATGAATGGGTATCTTCCCAGGTGGCCCCTTTTCGGGGCCCATTCTTCTGGTAACACCAAGGAGAGGCTGTTACCATCTCTGACCTCGTCTTAGAGGCTTGGTCTGAGAGAGCACCTCTCTTTTCCCAGCATCCCACTTCTGCAAAGAGAGAATCTGCCTTCTTGTCAGCTGTGAGCCCTGATACATGGGAGAAAAAGAACCACAAAGGTAGGATGTGTTATACACTACTGCACAGTAATGGGGGGGTTCTTGATTATCTGAGCAGCCACAGCAACACCAGGGAGAATTATTCAGCCCATTCAGGGCAAAACAAATTTACCTGAGCTTTCAATATTTTATAGATGAGGAAACTGAGGCACAAAGGGGGGGAAGAGTGACTTGTCTAAGGTCACACAACTAACAAGTAGCTATGAAATGAGAATATTGGACTAAATGACTCTAAGGTCCCTTCTAGCTTTGACATTCAGCTCAATAGTCTTTGTTTCAGGGCTCCTTCCAGCTCTCACATTTCTCATTTGTAAAATGAGGGGGTCAGACCACATGGCCTTGCAGGTCATTTTGGTCCCTTACATCTAAGGTCCCTTGCAGCTTAGATAGTCTATGTTCGAAGGGCCCTTTGAGGGCTAATATTCTATGACTTTTAGCTCTAGAGGGGCAGGTGGCCCCATACCAAAGTAACTTGAGAGTCCTAGTAGCAGCTACCTCTTCCCCCCCACCCCCACCCTTGACCCAGGAGCTCAGCAAGTCCCGGGAAAGGAAGGGCTCCCTCCTAGGGATCAATCCCGAGTGAGTCCCAGATTTCAGGAATTTGAAGGAGGAAGTGAAGAGGGGGGCTCATCCATGGGGTTCTGGCTAGGTCATCTCAGATCCCCTGTTCCTCTGGGATATAGCCCCCCACTCCTCTAGGGCCCCATCTTACCAAATGTGCCCTGTACAGTACTAATCTCAATACGCGTCCCACACACTCTGACACTGCTGCCTGCCCTGAGACTGGGGCTCTGGCTAGCCATGTACTCCTGGGGAGGGCTGGGCTCGGCTGGACTGAGCTATACTAGGATAGCTCCATCCTGGGGCAGGGCTGGTGCAGGGCGAACCCACGCACAGACAGAGCTGCCTCCTCCTCCACCGGCCGATTCCATGTTAATCTTACCAACACACACCGGTGTCTAGTGGCCAGGGGCCAGCTAGGGAGCAGCTGGGGTTGGGGGCTCAGAGCAGACAGAAGTTTCCCCACCCCAGCCCGGGACCCCAGTGGACCTGAACCCATCCTAGCAAAGCCCAAAGGCAGCACTTCTGAGGACCAAACTTCAGCGCTGTTTTCTTTACCTTGTTGGGGGATTTGTAGCAGTTTAATTTGCTGCCTCTGCCGCCCATCCTCCTCCTCCTGGGACGGTCTCCCGGGAAAAAGTCTCCAAACTCCAGGCAATAGGGGTAGGGCAGGAGGAGATCAGATTCTCCTTGCTGGACTCCCAGGCTGCCTCTAAGACCCCGAAACTGAACCAGAAAGCAGCCGACTTGAACTCACTCACTGGCAGTCAATGCCGTAAATGTTCAAAGAGAAGGGCCTCACAAAAGTGAGTCGTGGCTGGTGCCTGACGCAGGTGATCAGAATTGCTGCGAAGCTCTCCAACGATCCCCAGCTGAGAGCTAGGCAGGAAAGGTCTTCCAGGAGCAATAGACATTGCCATTGGGATTTCTGAGTTTTCAGGGCATCAGACCCAGGTTCTTAGGTTCCCAGTTGAGGGTTTTTTTCATTCCCCTTCACCTTTTTTGTTAATTGAATCATCTATAGTTTGCAAAAAGTCGGAAAGGGTTAAGGTTATCTGTATCCCTTGGGGGTCTCACTAATTTAGTTGACTGTGCTCTGGTAAACATTAAAACACCTTTATGATACTTTAAAAAGTTGTTACATACCGAATGAAGTTTTCTTTTTGAAAAATTATTTAATCTCTTTATTTTATAATATTCCTTATTATATGTTGTGATACACAGTAGAATTTATTTCCTTTCCAATTGAATAAGGGAAAGGAGGAAATGAGCATTTATTAGGCATCTACTATGTGCCACGTACTTTATAAATACTGATCTTCACAACAACCATGGGAGGCTGGTGCTAATATTATCTTCATTTTGCAGTTGAGGAAACAGAGGCAGCTAGCAATTACAGCTAGTAAATGTCTGAGGCTAGATTTGAAGTCAAATCTTCCTGACTTCAGGCCCGGTATTCAGTCCACTCTGCCATCTAGCCAACACCTAGGAAACATGGGAAACTACAAGGTATGAAAATTGAAAACTGTTGGCAATCCCTTGTACATGGTATAGTAATAAGGGCTCTAGATCATGAGGTGGTACAGTGTTCTAACACATAGAGACTGTATGACCTTGGCCAAGGCACTTCACTCGTTACTTACTTCATCTATAAGATGTCTCTTTTTTTTTTGAAGGCAATTGGGGTTAAGTGACTTGCCCAGGGCCACACAGCTAGTAAGTGTCAAGTGTTTAGTCTGAGGCTGGATTTGAACTCAGGTCCTCCTGACTTCAGGACTGGTGCTCTATCCACCGAGCCACCGAGCTGCCGAGCTGCCCTCTATAAGATGTCTCAAAGGCTTTTTTTGTTTGTTTTGCATCAATATGCTTTGGTGATGCTCTATGACTGGGAATCATGAAATACTATGATTTCAGGTGTCCCAAGAGCTGGTGAGCACCTGCAGGCTACAGAGTGTTAGTCATCACGAGATGCATTGAAGACGCAGTATCATCGTGTTTACCTACCTGTGTCAGGAAAGGGAGTTGGGTCAGTCACATAGGGAGGAGACATAACAAATGTGGCTAGCATTGAGTTGGTATCCATACAAAATCAAAAGAACCATAGGAGGGCCCCTAACGTGCTGGATGGATGCTCTATGAAGTATTTATAGAAAGATATAGAGAAGAATCACCCAGAGGAAGGCTTCTGATGCCATAAATCCTTTGAAGTACTAAAAAATGGGGAAGGAGATACTAATATGAGAATCAAATGAGATAATGTTTGTGAAAATGCTTTAAAACTATAAAGCACAAAACATCCCATCAACTAATACCAGCGTCAATAGTGAAACTATTCTCTGTATAACATGACATGACATAATCCATGGGACATGGCTAGGAGGGGCCCAAAGCACTCAATCTCATCACAATCTGTCATATCGGAGTCTTTGGGATCCCCACCCCCAAAATTTGGATGTGCAGAACCAGTGTTCATTGCTAGCTCAGCAGAAAAAGGTAGCTAATCCAATGGGTAATTTATTGGTGGGTGGAAAAAGAGAGGCAGTCTATTCTTGGCTTCTCCATGTCTCAGGAACATTTTCATTCAGTTACTTTTAACCTCCCTGGGAAACAAGATGCAAGTTCCTGATTTTCTTTTCCCCCAGTGGTATGCGCTGGTTAAATGCTTTGAAATCTTGCACAAATCGATGCTATAAATTATCTTACAGAGCTAAAGCATTCAGCTTTGGAACCCCTGCCCTGGAATCATACTGAATTGATTGGTGAGAACGCATTATATCTAGTCCATCCATTATCCCCCCCTCTCCCATCAGCCATCTTCCTTCCATAAAGGCATGGAGGGGTTGTGATACTGCCCAGCAGATGGTCAAAATATTGAAATGTTATAATAATAATCATAAAAATTAGAGAACCACATAAATTGGCATATAATCTCACACTTAGTTATGTTGTACTGGCTATCATAGCAATGAGAGGTGAAGTGAGGGAGAGATCAGACTGATCAGTGAGTGGTTCCTAGAGATGTTACAGTTAATAGAGGTCATCATCATCATCATCATAGCATTTATATAGTGCTTTAAGATTTGCATAGTTATTTACATATTATTTCACTTGATCCTTACAACAACTCTAGGAGGTAGTCAGTCAACAAACATTTATCAAGCAACTACTATGTGCCAAGCATTGTACTAAGTGCTAGGGATACAGTGAAGGGTAAAAGGGAGCTCCTGCTCTCAAGGAATTCACAGGCTAGTAACAATTCCATTATTCCCATTTTGTAGATGAGTTAACTGAGGCATAGAGAGGTTAAATAATTTGCCTAGGATCACACAGCTAGTGAGAGTCTGAGGCAGGATTTGAACTCATTTTCCTGACTCTAAATCTAGCAATCTGTCCATTACCTAGCTGCCTCTTCACTGACTGTTAGGGATGTTCTAGAGGGCCTTCCTGCTCAGACATGATTTGAATTGCATGAAAAACTTCTTGTAACTCTTCACATATATTTTTTGATGCTAGTGCTTGTGTAACACGGAATGATTCAACATTGCACAAGGGGCTACATTTTTAACTAGTGCTTTTTGTCCTGATTCCAATTAAGCTGAAAAGTCAAATATAATTGTCACGTGTTATTTTCATTAAAAATCCAAAAATCATACTGCAAATTTCTCTTGATGCAATATTACCACCAATACATTCACAAAGTAACAAGTCTTTTCTAGCATCAATTTCAACATATGTAATTAAAAGATTCTCTTTAATTATATCTGCTGCTTTAGCCATTTGCAATGCAAAATAGGAAGATGTTTGTTTCTCAAGTAAGCAGGAAGGTCTATGGACACACAATGGGCCATGGTAGTGGTGGTGCCCAGTGGTGCAGTCAACTGTGCAATACAGTTTAAGAAGAGCTGAAGGGATTGCCAGTGGAAAAAGTTTAGGAAGAAAAAAACAAAAACAAAAAACAAAAAACAAACAAAAAAAAAGAAAACGTTTAGGAAGTCCTGATAGTGGACAGAACGCGGGATCAGGAGTCAGAGAGATATGAGTTCAAATCCTGCCTCAGGTACTTAGCTCTGTGACACTGAGCAAGTCACTTATTCTGTCATGCCCCAGTTACCTCATCTGTAATAATAATGATAATTTGAAAACAAAGGGTATACAACAGGCACTTACCTCATGGATTGTTGTATAGATCAAATAAGATGGTATATTTAAAGCTTATTATAAACATTAGAGCACTATGTAAATGCTAGCTATTATATTAATAATATTTATGTATATTATATGATAACTTCAGTTATCATATGGACAACTCTTTCCATTTATGATATTTGTGAGTGGAAACATTCGAAGCCTCAGTTTCATCAAATGTAAGGGGAGAAGATTGGACTAGATGACGTCCAAGGTGTTTTCCAACTCTAAATTTATCATCCGATGATCCAAGTATAGTTACTATAACTTGAAATCATTTGAAACTGCTTTTCACATTGAGCAGTTCCTAAGCGAGTTTGATGACGATGGCCACGATGGCCAGCATTTATCTAGCATTTTAAGGTTTGAAAAGCTTCTTACATATTTTACCTCATTTGATCTACACAAGAAGGCTGCAGGCAATCCCTTTGACATCACAGATGGAAACATCTGATTTGTTCCTCTGAATAGCTTTTGTCCTGACAACATAATTTTTTTCTTTTTCATGATGAACCTAACAATCGCTACTGAACACAAATACTACAATATCCAAACAGTAGAAATAAGAAGTTTGTATATGAACCCAGGAACTTCTATTACATGTTTGTTTGTTGTTCAGTTATGTCAGACTCTTTGTGACCCTATTTGAGGTTCTTTTGGCAAAGATACTGGAGTGGTTTGCCATTTCCTTCCCTAATTCATTTTACAGATGAGGAAACCGAGACAAACAGGGTTAAGTGACTTGCCCAGGGTCACACAGCTAATAAGTATCTGGGACCAGATTTGAACTCAGGAAAGAGAGTCTTCTGGCTCCAACCTCTACACTTTAGCCACCGCACCATCCACCTGCCCCAACTTTTACATACTGAATTGAACAAGACAGTTAACAAAATTGCCCTGTTTTCTTCTGAATTTTGTTTTCTTCATATTTTTATTTGTGCTCTTTATTATCTTTTTTTCATTTCTATCACTTTCCACTAACTTATCTACCTCAACACTTCCCTCTTCCCCCACAGAAGCAAGCCCCTTCTTGCAACACATAGGTAGCCATACAAAGGAAATGAACACACTGGTTATTTTTTTAAAATGTGTGACATGTCATTATCTAATAGATAAAGGGTCAAAGGACATGAAGTCAATACTTTTTGGTACACAAAAGCAGCACTTTTTTGTTACATATTTTGGATATGAAAATGTTTGTTGAAGACTGTCAGTGTCAAGTTCATATTAATATATTTATTTTAAAGAGAAAATGTATATTTCATCCTATACCTCTAGTTAATCACTTCTCTGCTAGGAGGTAGGAGACAGACTGCATAATTATCAGCTTTCTGAAATCAAGATTCATCACTGCATCCATTGATCAGAGTTCTGAATTTTTAAAAAAAAGTTCCCTTTACATTACTGTGGTAATTAAAAAAAATCATTCTCCTGATTCTACTCATTTTTCTCTGTATCAGTTCCTACAAAGACTTCCAAAGCATCTCTGAATTCCTTATTTCTTATAGTTCAATAATATTGCATTACATTGATGTACAACAATTTGTTCAGTCATTCCCAACTGCTGGGTGCTAATATGTTTTCTAGTTCTTTGTTGCAA